GTGTGTCTAGAGAGCCACAAAACATGATAAAAGACCCTCCTCTCATTTATTTCCTCTCTCAATAGATCACAGAGTGTCTCTGAATGGGTTCACAACCTGTCGTGATGTCACAACAGGACAATCCGGCTCCTCGTTGGGCTTTGTTCTGCCTTTTAATAAAAAGAGTGGCTCTAGTTGGATTTAAAGCTACAGCAGAGTTCCAGTCATAGTGGAATGAATGATCTGTGTGATCTTCTGAGCGTTAACGACACATTATTAAGACGTGAGACTTACATTAACTGGATAAACAAGAATAATTCAGGGACCTTTAAGTGTAACATTCTTACTCTGCGTGATCTTGAAACCTTTAATATCACAAACAATCCTGGACTGAAGTGAAGCTTCTTGACCTGCATGTCAAGAAATGAAGGAATCTGTGTGTTTGTGTCCGTCTGTTCTTTGCTTAAACACACATCTGATCCACTTTTAACCTTTCTGGTGTTTTGAAAAGGTGTCTTGAAAAGCCCCGAACAATAAAAGACCAACCTTTTCCCAGTTAGCTGGGATTACACACATTTAAAGGGTTCATCACCTTTGAGGAGGACGGCTTCAGTGGACAACATTTTTTTCAAAATATATATAAGCTACATTATAACAAAAGGGTTTTTTTCCCGCTCATAAAAATAAACATTTTCAAGCAAAAGTTTGTTTTCACTCTTACAAAGAATGTGGTTTATACTAAATTTCCCACGTCAAAAATGAACTTGGTGACTTAACTTTGATGATTTAAGGAAGTGCAGTACGTATTTTGTGGCTGAGTAGGTTTGTAAAATATAACAAACACGTTTCAAATCAATGTTTCCTTCCATTTATTTCACTGCGTCACTGTCGCTCCTTTTCAGCCAACCAATCAAATAACAAATGGGGCGGGACTTGTCACCCTGTAACCTAGAAAATGTAGAAGACGCTTCAAATATGTAGTGAAAATATCCAATTTAAACCCTGACAATGACATTTTCCTAAATCTAACCACGTAGTTTTGGTGTCTAAACCTACCCAAAAGCAAGTGAAAACCCAGAAATTAAACTGAATTCTGAGATATTCTCTCGTCCATCAAAAGACTCGAACCCTGGTCTTCTAGGTAAAAACTTTGTCGGTCTTACAAACTGGTTGTCTTTCACAAATTACGTTTATTTCAAAACAAAACTGCATTCCCTTGAAAATGCATTTTAGAATGCAGTTTAGTTGTAGAGGAATGTAATTCTGCAGAGACTTTGTTGAATACAATGTTGAGTTTTAAGCACATTGGACGAACGCTGGCTATTTTTGGGGGTCTTTTTGGAGTCCTGACTGAGCCTGAAGTCATCGTAGAGCCCATGTGACTAAAGCTTTGTCACCTCCCCAAGTCCACAAAGGTTTGTAGACGTTTGTGTGCAGCCCTGATGACGCTCAGGAGTAGAATGGTAAATGGTAAATGGTCTGCACTTATATAGCGCTTTTCTACCTTTGCGGCACTCAAAGCGCTTTACAATGTTTCTCATTCACCCATTCACACACACATTCATACACCAATGGCGACAGAGCTGCCATGCAAGGCGCTAATCTACCATTGGGAGCCATTTGGGGTTCAGTGTCTTGCCCACTTCGGCATGTGGGGGGAACCGGGGATTGAACCGCCAACCTTGCCATCAGTGGACAACCCGCTCTACCACCTGAACCACAGCCAACGAAGTGCGCATGCATGGAATACCTCAATACCACCTACTGCTGACGTAGGCAACAGTCTCAAAAACAGACTCCAATGGACAAGGAAAGTCGTATAATAGCAACAAGTATGCATCCGTGTGTAGTAGATTACAATCAATTAATTAACAATTAATTCATGATTAATCAACAACGTGAACATAACCCAGCTGTCATGATACTTCCTGGTGTTGATCACGTGACATACGTTGTCACGGTGACGTATGTCTCACGTTGTTTGCCTCATAAATGACTCAGATAATAAACCAACAGCTCAGTCTAACACTGAACGAACAAAGCCCGTCCTGTTGGTTAAAATGTTTTTAAACGGTTAAATTCTTAACAGCATTTAATCAATAACAATTATTTACTAGCATTCTTAGTTGCTAGGAGACTGAGTGTAATTACACTCTAGGCCTGTGAATGGGCTCTGCACCAGCTGCAAGAATGTACACACAGATGAAATGTTGGCCACTTTTTCAAAAGCTTAGATGAATATTTGTGATAAACAAGAAAGAATAAAAAGAACTTGGCCTTGTACCGTTTTTCTCTTTAACTCCCGTGTCCTCCTGAATATCTGAGCTTCCAGTGGCCACAATGGACCGATGCTACTAACTTCCACTGTTTGGTTTGTGTCCGAAAATAAAACGTGGCGGAAAAAAAAAAGAGTCCACTCAAGCGAAACAAACTCAATCTGATAATTAGACGGATGGTTTCACCGAATGCTTTACATCTTATCAGTAATTTGCTCTTCATTAAAGAGCCGGTGCCTTGTTGTGTGGCTGAATGAACCGGAGGAATATACGATAATCAAAGCTGTGATATAAAATTAACCGAAAAAAGAAACATCAGATAGAAAACGTTTAAAAAGGAGCAGAACACGGCTCAGCGTTGTGGATTCGTATCAGAAGCGCTGACGGGAACAACAGCGGTTCTGCAGTCTTATCACAACGACCTTCCCTCCACCTACACAGCCACCAAATACCTAAAACACCGCATCCACCCACAGCACCCAAACCTCCACTTCCTCATGTGAGCAAATCCTCCCTCATCCCTCCTCTCCTCATTAACAACTCCCCTCGCTTCTTTTGCATGCTTTACTCTACACCCTTGCTGTCCTTTTTCTTTCCAGTGCGCTATTTGATTTTGAATGTGCTGATTTCCAATCCTTTTATCCGTCCCCCTTTCGCAATCAGCCACCCTTTTTTATTTCAATCACCACCTCTGTGGAGTGGGAGGCTGAGAGGAGCTTAGAACGGGGTGTGGACTGTAGGAGTCGGTAGCTGGTCGCCGCTCTGATCTGGAAATGGTAACTCGCCGGTCCTCTGTGTTTAGACAGTGATTAATGCTGCAGATAGCCCTGAGCTAATGCAGCCTGTGTTGATTCGCAAATCACCATGTCAGGCAGATATATATGCACACCAGGTCGCAATAATAGCTTTCTTCAGAGGTGACTAACTTGTCATTGGTTGTTAAGCTTTCAATATTTGGACTTAAATTCAGACCTTCCTGTTCTGCAAACATCAAATCTCTGCTCTAGATTTAACAGCACCCCCTCATTACTACCGAACTGATGCTCATATTTAGCTTTTAAATTAAATGTGGTAAATAATCTGCTCATTATTAAACATCCACACACACACATTACACCAACGGCCTCACACAGAACAAGTAAATGCCCAAATCTCCAGGCAGTCAAGCCTCATTCTTGTAAGCCATTAATGTTGTAATCATCTTTGCGGACCCCCAATGAGGAGAGAATTAGCAGGAATCTCAGTGTGAGTTCAGCTGCAGTCTAAATCCATAGACAGCCTTAAAGGACATCAAATCCCACCTGGAAAGTGGGTGTGTGGAACCATGACGGAGAACCCAAACTGGGATAATAAACACGGGCCGACAATGTGGGGAGAATATTAATGGAAATGGAGCAGACTGCACGTTATTAAGCAAACTGGTTTAAGAGAGGAGAGCCTAGAGGTGGCTTTATTTTAAGGATTATTTTCAAAAAGCAACCTGTGGAGAAAACTGAAGTTCCCAGAATGGCCACCAGGGGTCGGCTCCAGAAAGTAGTTAATCCCTGTAGACCCCGATGGTAAAATATTCAACTTTACAGCACAAATAAACATGTTTACAGCCTGGAAGAAGGAACAATTTTTGGTTCTTTATAGCTAATTTCCTCTTTTAGGACAACTGTACACGAGGATAATTTTTATATATCTCACCCCAAAACCTGCTAGTGGATTTTAAAGGCATGTTATATTAAAATAACTACCAATTAATAACATTTACCAGAACCAGAAGCTGTAAAAACAGGATAAATCCTCACATTTTCTCCCCTCTGTTGGTACTTGAATGAATCATATGTGACATGCAGTTTTGTCTGGAAAATTAACTCAATCTAAACTTAAACTGAAGCATCTGAACACTTCATGTTACAGATGTCTTCAAAAAATTTTCATCAAATATAACTCAGTTGCACCAGATACTTTAAAAACAAAACAAAACAAAAAAAACATGAAGTACTCGACTGTGTTTATACAGAGGAGAGAGAAGACAAGTATAGTTAGAAAATTCAACATACTTGATCAGCATGGCTCAGAAAAGGTATACAGGGGAGTCAGCAAGTCGTTATGCATTCAGCATGATTCAATATTTTTCTCAACTTTATCTGTGGAGTATTGTGAAAAACATCTAGTTTATAGAAGTTGGTAAGTGTTTTTTTTCCAGTGCTGGTAACACCTGCAGGCACTTGAACATGTTGCACAAACTTATTCCATTTTTTAAAAATATATTTTTGCAAAATTAATAATCAAAGAAATTCAACTGTCATGTTTCTTTTTTATGATCTATAGCATTATAACTTTTGCTATATTAAACAAAAACCTTTTCTGAGTTCTCCCTACTTGTAGCTATGGTCAAAGTAAAAAAAACAAAAACCTTCTGGGGATTAAAAAAGTTTTCTCTTATCTTTTGTTGTTTCCATAGAGGTGCAGGACTTCATACGGCAGTGAAAAATGAGCCAACGGTGACAAAAAATGGGAGTATAAATGTCCAAAAACTTCTTGGGGTTCAGAGGATGGATAATAGATAATTAAAAGTGTGGTCGGTTTGAATGACAGGTTGGTGCCGTCATATTCTGCTTCCCATCTTGCTAAATTTTGGATTAGTTGGGTGTTAGGGGGCTGGCGATGATGAGCTTCAAAACTCCTCTTCAGGAAACCCATGAAGGGTTCATCTATCTTTACATAGACACCGTTTGTGTTTCCTTCCTGACTCACCTGTATTGTGACAATCCGTGGTAGCGGTTGGCGAGTGTTGGCTCCGCCTTCGATGGCGATACCCAGGGTGCTGGCACTCTTTGCCACCCTCACTAGTGTAGACGTGGGCTCCAACAGGCCCGGCTGAAGCAAGGCGGGAATATAGGAAGAAGAACAGCGTTAATGCATATTTATAAACCTAAATATATTCATAACACTACACAGCCTCTCGTATTCGTCTGCCTCCTCTTTGTGCGCCGTGCATACATATATTTTTCCGCCTTTGTTTGTTTTCTCAGTGCAGAAATACTCGAGAGTCTTCTTATGCATTCATAAAGGCCATGACTCCACATTAGCATGTACATATTCAGTCCTGGTCATATATTTATCCGTCAAGTGAGAGGACAAAACACTAACACGTTTTTAATTTTCATTCCATTTCCATTATTTAGTCGTCTTAATGTCGGCTCTCGTTAGGCTTCTGCTCCCCCTACAGGGATTCTTTTTCCCACCTGTGTAAATGAGCTGAAGCTTGTTTCTGGGGTTTCACGTCCAGGTTTAGAGTTTACAGTGTCCATTAAAGGCATCCTGCTGGCGGAGCGGTTAAGATGCAGAACATATAAGTGCAGAGTCTGCAGTTTGATTCAGGCCAGGGACCGTCCCTGTTACTCCCCCCCCCCGCCCCTCACATTTAGTGCTGCACTTGAGCTGGCAAGTAAAGCTCCATTAATTTCTTTTTTATGTCACAGAAAGAGCCCAGAGCTGACAGAAGCAGACCCACCCCGCGGAGCAGTCGACGTATTAGCAAACAGTTACACCTCCACCACACAACATTAGCATTCATGTGTGGATTCATTCTCCTTATAGCGTCGTATAATTAGGTTTTCCATCAGCTCCAGAGAAAAATATCACTTTACCTGCTTGATGTAGCGTCGCTAAGTTAGTCTGTCTGCTGTTTGGTGTTGGCAGGTTGTCAGAGCTATCGCTGCTGTGGCTGTAAAACCACAAAAACTCAAAAGATTCTTACTCTGACTGACCTTTTTCAAATTGTTATCTAATTTATTGCTACTCTAGAAATGATTATCAACACATTCATAGCTGTGAATTATGAACATTTTGCACATTTAAAAACCCTGAGCAACATCCTTTATTCCACATGGACTAGAATATGTGATTTATTGTTATTTTTCTCCTCAAGGACAAATCTGTGCCATATTAATACAGTTCTCTGTATTATCGTTTTATTGTTGTACTGATATTCCTAAAATGTTTGCACTGTCCCCTTTGTTGCTATAACAATGCAAATTCCCCAGCTGTGGGATTAATGAAGGCTTATTTTATCTTATCTTACTCATTAGTAAAGGTTCATTCAAAATTGCTAATTATTTTGTTGACGTGTAGAAACTGTACATACCGACAACACTCTCTGCCACTTAAATGCAAATTAAAGAAAGTTGTTTGAATCCAGTGCAATAGCAGACACTAATTTATCGTATATTATGGACAGGAAACCCCAGAAGCGTGTTTAAGGTTTTCAGAAATGGCCAGATGGTTACAACGTTTGCAAAGTTTTCTTGCGCGAGCCGTCCTCGCCCATAATTCTGCATCCCATTGTGTTTCGTCTGACATAAAGATGAGGAGACTTTAACAATGCTTTAAACTGTCTTCCATAAGTTTTTACGAGCGTATAACTTTGCTCTTTTCAGCCAACCTCTTGTTCGACACTCAAGAACAAGCACAAGGTAAAAGCCTCGGTAATAAAAAGCAGCTTTTTTTTTTTTTTTTTTTTTATGACACGCGGTCCATTCAGCCTTCAATTCTCCTTGGAAAAAAAAAAAAACTCTGACTCTAACAGCCCCTCTTATCATAAACAATCAGACGACTCCCATCCCTACTTGTTATTCCTTCCATCAATCAATAAGAACCAGAGAGCGACTTGAGGGTTTCGTTTCGTTACACAGCGGCGAGTGATTAAATAAATGATGGAGAATGTGACTGGATGAATGACATGAGTGAGAAATAAACAGAAAACAAAGGAAACGGTGGGTGTGAGCGAACAGGGGGAGGAGAGAAGAGATCACGGTTAGGATTAAGAACAGACTCTGGAGGAGGATTAAAGAACATTGATTTGTCAACCTGCAGCTCTGGGCTTGTTTCGCAACTGACACACACACACTTGAACTTCTGTTCTTGCGAGGACCCACGGTGACACAATAATGCATTAATTACACTTAAACACCTTGTTGACATGTCTGCATGGTGTCTTCTACGTGCTAGAGGACACATCAGGAGCGAAACAAGCTGTCAACACCTTGGCTGAGTACGTCTTCTACCTTGAAACTGCGGCGTACTGATGACAGTCTCCAACGCACAGATTCAGATGGTCAGGATTTCATATGTAACAAACCTGAACAACCAATCCTGTCGATTTGTAGGACGGGATGATCTGTATCATCTTCATCTTCATTTTCGGCTTCTTGTTCAACATGTATAGCTGAGTAACTCCAATGTTACCACTTGCAGAGTCATACTTTTTTAGAATTAGGAGACCCTCAAGGAACTCTGGAGATATTTGAGCTCGCCTGAAGGGCTCCTGGAGGAACTTCTAACAGCTCAGATCAGAGAAGAGGCTGCTGGAGGCCTTACAGACACTTTACATTTGTATTTACACTTTGTTTTAGTTATTGTAGCTTTAAAATGTGTTATTCAAATTGGTTAAAGTCCACTATTGTGTTTATATTTGTATACATATGTGTAAAATTGTTCTTTTTTTTAATCATAATGAGATAACAAGACTGAAAGTATGACATTGTTTAATTATAGTCACATATAAACCACTTTTCAAATCCTACTAATAAAAATAAGGAAATTATTTTAGGTTATAGTTTTTTAGCACTAAATTTTGAACCTCTTTTAAACAACATTGGAGTTGTTACCAACTAAATGCACGTTTTAGATCATGGCTTTATATATGTGGGCAAACTGGGATCTTGTCTGACTCCTATTTGCTGAGATAACGAAAAAAGTCTGTTTATTGAGGAACAACTGCAATATTGTTTAATATTTTTTCTTTTGTTTGGGGGGTAAAAAAAATCCCATAATAATGAGGTCAAAGTAGAACCATAAACCTCACAAAGCGGTTCTCTGAAGGACCTTTCTAAGGGGCTACTTGAGTAACCTTTACATCAGAGGAACCATTTTGAAAGTTCCTCCACATGGGCAATGTGAGGAACCATAAACGGTTCCTTGAAGATTTACTCCTAAGACGTGTAAGTGAGCTGGTGTGCTCAAGCTGCAATGAGCAGAGGGTTGAGAACTTCCTATATTTGCACATTCTCAAGGAAACAATGGTGTCGAGTTGCATCTAAGCCATTTAAAAGGTAAGAAGGTGATTATTTTCATGTAGACTTTAATATACAAAGAGAGGAGGTTTGGGGGTTTTATTGAATCACCAGAGTGACTAAATCTAATTCTGACCTTAAACAAAGTCCTATACCTCAGACAACCACTTGAAGAAGTGAGGATTTGACTAAATGTCACTACTTTCCAAAAATGTCCCAAATGTCCCTATTTTCTGCCGAAATGTCTTGACTTTCTGAAAATGTCCTCACTTTTAAAAATGTCCTTTCTTCTCCAAAAAGGTTTTCAATTACCAAAAAATATGTTCACTTTCTAAGAGTGCCCTTGCTTTCCCAATATGTCCTCACTTTCCCGTTTCAAAAAGCATGACCCTAAAAGCCCGTAAATTTGAAAAAAAACTGTCCTCACTTTGCAAAACTGTCATCGTTTTTCAAAGTAAAAGCTTCGCTAAAATTTTAAGTTTCAAAAGCGGTCCTCACAAAGACAGAAGCACAACATCGCTGGCTGCTAAATCAGCCAACCACACATCAATTCCCTGCAGTTTGAGCGTCGGCTCACTCATCCATCCAATGTTTGAGCTCCTCTGAGTCGCCCCCTCACCGGTTTGGAGGGGTTGTTGTTGTCCCCCCCGCCCCCCTGGGGGTCTCGGGGGAGGCGGGTGCGTGAGGAATGGGGGCTACTGTCTTTGCTGACGTGTCCTGACTCAGCGATGTCCACGCCGCTGTCCTCGCTGAGGGTTTGTCCGCTGTCTGACAGCTGAGACAGGGCGCCGCCTGAGGGGAAGCAGCAGACGCCATGTCACAGAAAGTCAACACGACGCCGGACTTCAAACATCATGTTACCGCTCTGCTCTTTCACAGCAAACCTCCCCGAGTTTACTTTAAAACAAATAAATGCTCAGATCAAAATGTTCTCAAATAAACAAACTCCCCACTTTTGATTGGATTTTGCACAAAAGCCCGTTAAGATTAGTGATGTTCTGCACACAGCAGCTATCGTACGCTGTGTTCTGGGTAATTGCTCATTTAAGCGCATTAAGCCCAAATAAATACACAGATTACACACACAGCATTAATGCGCTGCCTCATCACTGACGCAGCATATTTTTGACAATTAACAAACCCCAGGATCAGCCCGGGATCACTGCATAAACCCCAAATGCAGTTTATCTGATCTGAATGTTTCATAATCAATTCTGAATCTTCAAAGCCTCCAGAAGTATTTATAGTTCAACATTAGCAGCATAACAGGATTTTTGGCCGAACAATTCTGACAATTAAACATACTGAGGGGAAAAAAATCTTTGATAACGTCGACATCATTTAAACACACTGTGCAGAAAAACATTGTTTTGTTGATTCATGTGCATCAGTATGTAATCCAGAGTCCTACATTATCATAAGTGAGATTTGTGTTTGTCATAATCAGCAGAAAATGCACCGACTAGATAAATATAAGGCCTGGTTCCACAACATTGAAATGATCTGGGCTGCACCCATGGGTGTTTCTAATCCTCAAAGAAATGATCATACATCTACAGCTGCTTTTATAAGGACCAAACAGTCGTAATGCAAATACACAGAAGTTTATGTCCGTCTGCTTCAAGCAAACTTATGTCTTTGTGCAACTTGTAACCAAACAACCAAACCCACAGAAGTATTTTCTTGCTATAATATAATCAGATATGACATTTACATGAATATAGAAAACCCCATTGTTTGTTTCCAGTGTTCATATTTGTTTGATATGTTTCATATCCGCGTTTAGGCCGCCTTCAGCATATTTGGAAACTAGACTGCAACTAACATGATTTATGGATGTGCTATATGTAAAATAACACCAGCGACAGCAGAGAAAAATAGTGTGTTACGATAAACAGATTATTTCAGCTGGAAAAAAGCTATAAAGAGCAATATGTGGATACAGTAGCAGTTTGCTTTATGAGTCAGAAATGCTCATCTTCAAACATGTCGCAGAATATTGGATAGTTTCTGCAGGAATAGTCTTGTTATCCTCATTGTTTAAACTAAGAGCTACTGAATTAACTACACCCTATAGATAATATGTATGGGGCATTTAGACACACTGAGGTTGTCTGGCACAGTCTCCACTAAATTACGTTTCTATACAACTAAACTGCAGTTTTCTGCTGGTTTGTTTGCAACGTATCACAAATCCATTTCTACTCAGCGCATCTTTGCCATTTATTTTACTGCTTCACTGTCGCTCCTTTTCAGCCAGTCAATCATATTTTAGGTTTGACTTCCCACGATAACCCAGAAAATGGAGGACAAGCTTCAGACATGCAGTAAAATTATTATATTTTTACCCAAATCATGACAATTTTCCCAACTTTAACCAATTAGGCGTCTCAGAATAACCAAGCTGTTAACCTGTAAAATGTGTTAAAGTGTGGTATTTTCCTTCACTTAGCCATGAAGGTTTGATGCCTAAAGGGGGAAAAAAAGTCAATTGCCAAAGTCTGACCTCCTGAAACAGTATCAGAGGCAGCTTTCATCATGATCTCTAATTACTGGTTGAACAGGTGTTAATTGAAAGATGCATTTGTGAGAACAGTCCTAATTGTACAGAGATACAGGAGAGGTGGTTTCTATTATGGTCTGGATTTGTGCAGATGATTGGATATACACTGATATAAGCTACAACATGAATCCAAACTGACTGAACACACCATCTGGGGATTGTTTGAGCTTTTTTGTTGCGTCCTCCGAAACTGGTAGAGTTTACCGGAAAGTGAAAACCCAAAGCAAACAAAACTTAAATCTGAGATTGATGGCTTCTCGTCAGTCATTGGATGCTGGTCTTCTGGGTAAAAGTCTGGTTTATGGCTCCTAACGAGGACTTTATCGCTCTTCCAAACTGACCATTTTAACACCACGTCACAGATCATAAATCAGGTTTACTTGAAAACAAAATGACGCTTCCTTCAGAATGTAAATGAGAATGCAGTTTAGTAGTACAGGAATGTAACGTTCTAAAGACAGACTGCTCTAATTAAGCCTTTATAATAACTCTGCTGCTTTTACCATTAATGTTGATCTGTACCAGAGTCTGCCGGTGTTTGATTTCAACTTCTATCAACTCATAATTCGAGGACATTTGGACAATCAGCAAACACCAGAAGACTGAAACTGTTGAGCTGCAGTTGGAGGCACCTGATGCAGCAGACCTGTGCAATTTTAATCAGCATATTAATCAGCAGAGTTTCGCTCATCACTAACGACTACGTGACGACACATTTATTATTCAAATTTCAACTGAGGGTGCGATGAATGCTTCGTGACTGTTGTTTTTACAACTTCTTTTATCTTTATTTAACACCACTGTGGATATAGCTAAGACTTCATTTTCCATATTTTCTGGTCATATTTTATAATAGCTAATAAATTGATTGAATAGTACATAGTTGCAGCCCTACATGTTGTAACCCCTCTATTAAACCCATGTTAGACCTGCAGCTCCGTGTTTCTTACCTCGAGCTTGAGGCAGCGGCCGAACCTCATTGACGTCGGGTTCAGCGTTGGGCCTGTGAACCTCCACTGTCACAAACTGCTGTTTAGTGGCAGCAGAGGCGGCCGGGGAGGCTTTGGACATGGAGGCCGGCTTTAGGGGCAGAGCAGGGGGGAGAGTGGGAGCAGGGAGAGGCGGTGGAGGTGGAGGTGAGGGGGACGGGGGAGCAGGTTTGGTGCCTCTGCCGGGGGACTGAACCCGGGGAAAAGGGCCAATGTTGTGCTGGGCGACTTTGGACAACTGAGCGGACGTTATGTGTTCTTTTTTGGGCGGCGCGGTGGGCTCTCTCTTTCGGACGGCGGCGTAGTCCCGGGAAGCGTCCCTGGGGCGTTTGTGGTGCAGTGAGGGTGAGGCGGCGGACTGTCCCGGCTCTTTGCTGTGGTTGTGAGAGGCCGGTGCGGTGAAGTACAAGCCTGAGTGGGAGGATTCGGACGAGGGACACTTGTTGAGCACATCTCGTCTACTTGGACGCCTCTGCACCCCCGGAGGGGGCGGAGGCTTGAAGGAGGGGGGCGACTCGGCTGGGGCGGACTGAACGTCATCCTGAAGTGAGAGGATATATTCATCATCATCGATTAGGGGTGTAACAGAACACTGCAAAATGTAGCCTGATGCATCGTGGAGCTGAAGGCTTACATGTAGTAAATCTGATCAGTTCTGTCTCTGGAGAGGTTCTAATTCGTATTTGCATTAATTCCATTTCAGAAGCTGTAATTAAATCTATCCAACAACACTGTCAAGAGTTTTAAGCTACTGCCTTAATAAGTTCACAACAGGGTTGGGCGACTGGACGAATACGTCGGCTGTTGATGGTGAAGCCCATCGCTGCTTTTTGTCATTTTACTTCAAAATTCAAAATCTGTCTCCTTGAGAATTTGACTCGGTACCTGATTAACCTGTAAAATGTGTGCTGATAGCAACTGGCAGTCATTAAGTTACTGTTATTTGCCACAAAATGTATAAACAGGCTAAAATTTTATTCAAACATTAAAATGTTTGCTGTCCCAGAAATCATTCGAAGGGCCAGTTCATGCAACGTAATGACAATGTT